ATGCCTGACTGTCTATCTTTATCCATCTATCTATCTATCTATCTATCTATCTATCTATCTATCTTTCCTCCGTCCCTCCTTTTCTTTCCTCCCTCCCTCCGTTCCTCCTTTTTTTTGTCCTTCCTTCCTCCCTCCCTCCCTCCTTTCCTGTCCTCCTTTCCTTCCTTCCTTCCTTCCTTCCTTCCTTCCTTCCTTCCTTCCTTTTCTGTCCTTCTTTCCCTCCCTCCCTCCTTCCTTCCCTCCTTTCCTGTCCTCCCTCCCTCCGTCCCTCCTTTTCTGTCCTTCCTTCCCTTCCTCCTTCCCTCCTTTCCTGTCCTCCCTTCCTCCCTTCCCTCCTTTTCTGTCCTTCCTTCCTTTCCTCCGTCCCTCCTTTTCTGTCCTTCCTCCCTCCCTCTGTTCCTCCTTTTTTGTCCTTCCTTCCTCCCTCCCTCCCTCCTTTCCTGTCCTCCTTTCCTTCCTTCCTTCCTTCCTTCCTTCCTTTTCTGTCCTTCCTTCCTTTCCTCCATCCCTCCTTTTCTGTCGTTCCTTCCTTCCTTCCTTCCTTCCTTCCTTCCTTCCTTCCTTCCTTCCTTCCTTCCTTCCTTCCTTCCTTCCTTCCTTCCTTCCTTCTTCCAGATTGTGCTTGGAGATTTTTTCTTCTCCAGGCAGTTCAAGGGAGAAAAAAAAAAACCCCACCTGCTGCTCTTAATGCCCTTTCTTTCTGTTCGCACCGGGATGATTTAGGATGATGGTGGCTCCTGACTGGAGCACTGAATCAATACACTCTGCACACATCCAAAATATGCATTGTTCTCGGTTACGTTTGAACGCTCCCTGGAATATGTAAACAGCCTTATGCACCTCTGGATGCTGATAAAGGCCGCTCTCCAGAATGTTTCCATCTGCTATTTCATAAATCTCATGCCAAAATATCAACGTTGGGTTTTTTTTTTCTCATGCAGATTGCCCCCTGCAGCTGGGAATATTGCAGCCTTTATGTACAACTGATTAAAGGGAAGACCTTCCAGATGTTTTAGAACAGTATTTCTTAACTCTGGCAATTTTGAGATGTGTGGATTTCCAGCTCCCAGCATTCCCTGGCCACGAGGGATTCTGGGAGTTGAAGTCCACCCATCTTCAAGTTGACAAGTTTAGAAAACGCTGGACTGGCCCTAATCTGTCGCAAGCTCAACAGGTCGTGAAGGGACTAGTCGTAACTTGAGGACTACCTGTACCCAACTACAGGTAGTATAATTGTGTGGCTCTGTCAACCTCTGCCTCATGATGCCCAGAGGCTTCTGCAGCACAGATGAAATTCAGAGTGATATATAAGGACCAGAACGTTTCTTTGAATTAAGTCAAGACTTGTTCCTGTTCTTCTTTTGTTCCTGGTTGATTTCCTGCCTTTCTCCCTACAGATTCCTCACGTTTTTCTGAACTCCTCTGCTTCTGAAATCAGACCTCGGATGTACCCAGTGTTTTTCGGAGAAAGCATAGAGGTCAACCCTGAGCCAGCCCAGGAAATCAGGTAAGGTACAGCTTCCCAGATGGGTAACATCGTCAATACTAGAAGGGATTGAATTTAGGGAGGGAGGGAGGGAGGGAGGGAGGGAGGGAGGGAGGGAGGAAGGAAGGAAGGAAGGAAGGAAGGAAGG